AAAAAATGTATATATATAAATCGTAAAAATATTACGTATAGTAACATATATATATGAATGACCCTTTCATATCACTTGAATGCTTTTGTCGTCAAGATTTCTGCGCCGTATCCGACCGGATAGGATAAATCCGCTTTAATCCAGCTTTCGCCGAGCGGACTCCTGGGAGCGGGTCCGACGAGCCGCTTGACCTGGTGCCAGTCGAGACGGCCCCGCGACTTGGCCAACACTTTCTACCGGCGACTGGGTCGAAACGCACATTAGCGCTACTTGCGCCGCTAAAATCACCTCGGTAAATTACGACGAAGCGCAAGCTCCTGTTAGTTCGTAGTGGGGTCTGTGAATTTCAGCCCGGAGTCCGGAATCGTCGAGGATGCTCCAGCAGCGCCGAACCTGACGGGTGCGATGATCGGGATCGGCTGGCTCCTGCTGATCGTCGTTCTGCTCTCGCTGGGGTCTTTCTCGGTGCCGGAGTCCAGATTCCCCAATGGTACGTCGAACGAGAGAATTCTGTTAAATAAAGAATACATTTACATGTATTCCAAGTTCATAACAATTTTTGGAAAGCTCTATTAGGACATAGTACATTAATTTCAGAATACGTTACGTTTATATGTCATAAACATGTGTTATAAATTTGTAACATGAGCTATAAGTTTGCTAGATAGTTGGACAAGTTTTACTAAGTTATTTCGCATTACAACGTGATGTTATAAAATCATAGATTTATTTGGAAGTCGGTAATGTATGGGCAACGATTCACTTTTATGAATCTTAAATTTATGATTTCATTGCAATATTTTGTATCGAATGTGTATGAATTTTGGGAATACCTTTTACGGTGTGTAGATTAAATTTTAAAGGTCTCGGACTGATGCAGATTTGTCGATGTTTCCAGCTAGGCTTGCAGAACGTCGAGACCGCGTCGCCAGAAGAAGAGCCCATGTCAGGGAGGAGCTGAGATCTAAAATTTGCTTTGGTGAGTCCGGTGTCTTAGACACGGAAGGATCTTGAGACAAACTCGAAGGGATTTATTGAAATTATTTGTTTCTCTGTAATTTTGTTCGGTGGTTTCAGACCTAGTTGGATGTTTCGACGATCCGGCCCCTCAGCTGACTCTTCGTCGTCCACCCGAGCATCCCAATGTTATCAACACCAAGTTCCTGCTCTATACTCGAGAAAATCGTGAAGAACCCCAGGTCTTGGAGTATAATGACGAGTTCAGGTCCATCCTCGAGTCGCGATTCAATGTCTCCAAAAGGCTTAAAGTTATCGTCCATGGCTATAAGGGCAGCGGAACCGACGAGGGAGCCATTTTTGGCTTGCTCGCCCTTCTCGATAAGGTACTTTACAATTGTTTCAACTAGTCTTGATGAATTCCTTCTAATTAACAAATTTCAAGTCAAATCTGTTCATCCTAATCCCCGATAACGCTAAAGAACTAATTGTACGGTATCGATAAAATAATATCGTTGAATTGGGTATTTTACAGCCTTTCAACTTATAGCAAAGATATAATAGTGTAGCCACGTCCATAAGAAATAATACGTTCGTTTCTGCCGGATCTGACCTGGTATGATCTCTTGTAGTATGATCTGACCAAACCAGATCAGCTGCGATAGAAACAGACGTATTATACGACGATACAGTCAGATCGTATTGGCTGTAGGATAGTCCCAGACTTACCATCATTCGGGATCCAACACTGATGATTCTTATAAAACCAATTTTGCTGGGGCCAGGAAAAATCCTTAACAAGAAACATTTCGATGTACGCAAGTAATTTATCTCACCTAGAACGTAATTTCTTCGCTCAGTACAGCAGCGTTAGCTCTTCGCACTTTCCTAATGTAGTTATTATTTCGTAAGTAAAAGTGCAGAGGAAATAAATGTTGAAATCATTGTTTGGTAGTATTGACTGAATGCGTTTCTTTTACAGGAAGACCTTAACGTTATCGTGATCGACTGGGCAAGAGGAGCTGGTACGACGTATGGAGCGGCTGTGGCAAACACGGAGCTCGTCGGAAGACAACTCGCCCTGGTGCTCCTGAAGGCGATCAGCCTGGGGATGGATCCGGCCGACGTCCACGTTGTGGGTTTCAGCCTGGGCGCTCACGTGGCCGGATGTGCCTCCGAGATCCTGAAGGCGAGGAAGATCCTGATCGGACGAATCACCGGTCTGGACCCTGCATCTCCGTTCTTCAAGCACCACCTCCTCAGGGAGCGCTCCAGGAAACTGGACGTTTCAGACGCGAGGTTCGTTGACGTCATACACACGGACGGCTCCGAAGTTTTCACCGACGGTTTTGGTCTACTCGGGCCCATCGGCCACGTGGACTTCTTCCCCAATGGAGGAAGGCAACAGCCAGGGTGCACCGACGTCAGGAACTCAGTCGTGGCCAGCCATCTTAACGGTGGGTGTTCGACTAGGATTGAAGTCCTGCGCAAAATAATGGACTATTATGTTTCTCCTGGATGGTCGGTTACCGAATCTTTATTTTTTATGTGTTACCGATTCGCAAATGTCTTCATTGAGAACATGTACCTCTCTCGATGCCTGTGAACGAACTTCTTTAGCGAATGGTTCTTCTTCGTAGCCGAGTTTCTCGACAAAGGAGTGGCCTGTAGTCATCTGAGAGCCTGGAAGTATTTCGTGGAAAGCGTGCAACCGAGGCCTGATCAAGAGTGCAGATTCGTTTCTTGGCCTTGCAAAGGTGGAGCTTACGACTTCGTCCGGGGAATGTGCTTCCCGAGGTTCGAACCAGGAACCGCAAATCCAGTTATGGGATACGATGCTGATCAGGGACCTTTGGGAGTTCTTTACTTGCCAACGCGTTCGCGGTCACCATTTTGTGGTACGACGTACTTAAAAATCTCATACAACCTTTAAACGTTTTATTTAAATTTTATTTCCGGATGAAACGTAGTCTTTGGACTTTAGTTTCTGAATTTAAATATCTATTCCAGGAGACCCTCTTCGAGCCACGGCTATCACTTTTCCTGTTCGAAGGGACACTTTGGGTATCCTTGTCTTCAGGATCTTTCATGGAAACGACTCGACGACTTTCCAGATGAGAAGCGAGTAAGTCTGCGAATCGATCATGCCTTGGAAAATGAAAGGTGGTTTCCGTGCAAAATGATGCATCGGAAATTCAAGTTTACTCAAATGACATTAGGCGTTGCATCGATCTTTCTATTCCGTTTTTATGGTAATCACACTAAGATCGATCTATCGATACTCAGAATTCATTAATTTTCTTGTAATGTAGAGTAAAATTGTTGTTTCTAACGCCAATCGTCCTAAATAAGTACAAAAAGCAACATTGGCTACATTTGCGATTTGTTCAGTATTTATAACAAGGGTTAAGGAATGGGACGATTTTGTTAACTAATTTATACATTCTTTACAAACTGGTAAATAATCCAAATACAGGAAACGTGGCGTCGGAAGATCTACATTCCATGGGATCGCAGCGGCAGAGTTCCAAGCAATTACAGAAAAGAGTACGTTATTAAATGGAATGATATGGTATAAAGCTGACGTAACGACAAATGAGAGACCAACTGTCAAGAGGAATCATTCAGACATGGTTTTACCACTGCACAAGCTCTTCGTTGAAGACAGAAGAGGCATCAAGTGTGTACACATTTATATTATATAGACGAATATATGTATACATGTATATGAATTGAATTTTGATAATGATAAAGCATTCTCTTTAAACAGGTGGGAGTATCAAGGATTAAAGACAGCAACTATATCTTCAGAACAGACAGAGATACAATTGCTGAAACAGGTTACGGAACTATAATTAATATTTATACTTTAATAATAATTTATTACATATTGCCATGGAACGTTCACGTAATGAAGATAAAGTATTATATTGTTTGGTTGTGACGTAAAAAGAAGACCCACAACAATGCACGTTACTAAGAAGCAAATGTATATCATAATAATATTAAAAAGTTATACTTACATTTTTATAAATAGTATTTGTTATAAACAGTGACCCTTTAATTTGTGATTCCTTTCTGCATATATATATAGAAAGCAGATGACCTAACAATCAGGAGGCTGAAAAATGAGCACACAATATGGTTATCCTACCCCTCCCTTTCCGACGCGCCGGCTTCTCCAGATTCAAGATGGACATTGGACTCCATCATATATTATTACGTCCATGCCAGAAACCGTGTCCAGTGTGCTAGTTCACCGTACCGCCGCCATCTTTTCGCCGTGTCCAATAATGCCATTGTCCAAATGGTCAATGTCCTATCAGAACCCTTCCTCCAGTTTACTTCATATTAGTGACGCGGCATATGAAACGCACCTTATCAATCTTTGACCTTGTTCATACATTTTAAGATTGAACTTAGTTGTTATGTTGACATACTTTATATGATTAGTTTTTCGTAGTATGTGCATACAAAGCGATCCCTTTTGAACGTTGCTGTATATACACGCGATTCACTAATTTGAAATTTGTGTGATAAAAACGTGCCGTACGACCTGTGCGGACTTCCAATGAAGAGAACAAGTAGCATATAGAGGTTACGTAGTTCAAATAATACCGACGTTTAATTAAAAGAGTAGCTTAGTTATTGCAGTACAGCATGCGTTCCTTTGGATTCTGTGCTTCATGGCACCGAGTGTATATATATTTTTTATCTTGTGATTATCTTTGTGGTTATTTATTAATATTGTACAATTATAGGGAGGTTTGATGTCTGAAAAATGGAGCCTATGACCTTAGGATCCCCTGTTGGTAGTCCCGTTCAAGCACCAGGAAGTCCGGGAACTTCGGCATACTTGCCTAGCTTTCTTCTCGGTGATTCGAGCACTGTAAGAGTCTAATAATTCTTCATATTTTGATAATTCTTTTTACTTCTGTACATTTATATTTGATTTTACAGCCTGCCAGATTAGGGATAGTTAATCCTCATGACACTTCAAGATATTCTGGTGGATTAAATTTACAATCTCCAGGATCACTTTATGGATCACCGGAGTATCGAATTAATAGACAAAAAGCTATGTTTGGTAATGTGACTAGTCCATCAGGAACACAGATTAATGCCGAAAGTCACACTGGTGGTCCACCAACGAGAGGATTATTTGATACTTTAGAAACTACGCATTCAAATACTCCGTACACGCCAACACCTGCTCAAAAACTTAGTTCCGGGCAATCTAGACTACTTTCGGGTAATGCAAGCAATTCCTTTTACTTGGATACATCCATAAATCCAACGAGTGAATCTTCTCAAGGGCTTCTTCAGTGGGTGACAATCTTCGGCTTTCCTCCTAGTGCCATTAATGCAGTTTTATCTCATATATCTAGTAGAGTACGTATAGTGGACAAACATCCTGCTCCCCATGCGCAAAGTAATTGGATACATTTAAAGTGCGCGTCGGAACAAGAAGCTCAGAGGGCATTAGCATGTAATGGCAATATCATATCTGGTTCAATCATGATTGGTGTTATTCCTTGTGCCGATGAAGGTGTTATCTTAGGAAGTGATAAGGAAAATCATATGAAGCTAAATGGGAGTATGCGCCTATTCTCTACTTCAGGCAGAGTAAATCCTATGTCTCCAGAAAGTAGCAGTATGCCCCGAACCCCTGTTAGAATACAGAATGCGCGACCGTTAGCTGCAGGATATAATCATCATTTAAGTCCACAATCAGTGAAATCACCAGAAAACATTCCTCAACGTTCCACCAGTATTGTTTCTAAAGCAATGGAATATGTCTTTGGTTGGTAGCTAACGCAATTAGTGAAACAATTGATGGTACATATTGCTTTACAAGCATCATAATGTTTTGAAAGTGATTAAAACCCAGAGGTGTGCCTTCTATTTTTTATCAATTTGTGACAGCGTTCAGTGTTGCTTTGTTATCAGCACAGTAAAAATCATTTAAATACGTATGACAAGAAACATTAATGTACATTGCTGAAATCCTATAAGAACAGCATATGTTACTTATATTAACAGACTTTATTCTTTTGGAGTATTGTAATGATGAATTTTGACAAAACTTATCTCTTTAGCGTATCTTTTATTAAAAATGTTTATACAATGTACCTCATTCACACCATATTTCATATGCTATAACAGGGATTAAGTATTTATATATATATCTTAGAAACAATCTACGACATTAATTTCCTAAAAGTGAAATTACAATTTCAACTCTAATTATAGCTCTAATTATTGAAAACCATCAAGTTTAAAGATCAATTATCAACATTAATTTGTTTTCTCAGTTATAATAGACATGTTTATATCTTGAACAAAAGTAACCAATAATTTGTAATTTTAGTACTTTTAGCCAATAGTATTTTTGAAAGAAATCACATTCAATACATAACATATGTTTTTAGGCAAAATATGAAATCTAAACAATTTATATCGAGATTATAAGGGCGCCAAAATGTAACTTGATTTAATGTAAAGGGATTCACTGACCTTTTGACTACTCATTCAATTGTAAAATAACACCCCATTTCAGACAATTCTATTACTATCAAAAAGTATTATTCAATAAAAATCATATGCAATTTTTTTCACAATTATCTAATAAATAAGTTTATTGTATCCTTCTTAGTCCTTTGAATTCTGCAGTTTATTTATTTTGGACTCTCAATTGTAGCACTACCTAAATCTGTCATCTTAGGGTACTTAATTTTTTTCTTATCCAATTCATATTGGGCCCACAAAATCATTTTTAACAAATTATTCAATCTTGGACTCGTTGATTCTTTATGTTCCATTTTTAATATAGCTGCATTTAATTCACTTGCAATCTGTAACAAAACAGAAATGATTTTAGTTTATGTAGAAAGATGTCAATTTATACTTGTTTATTAATACATAACGTTAATGACAGACCTTTTGTCTATGGGTTGGATGTAACAAATCACTGAATGGACTCTTATGTGGTTCATCAAAAGCCAGTAAAGCAAGAGTACGCTCTAATTCATCCAGTATGCTGTCATCGGACTCGCCAGCTTCGCTTAATTCATCCTGAGCAAATTGAAGTGCCTCTTCGATTCTTCCTGTACGTATTAATTCGATCAAATGTAATTGTTGCAAATGGAAGTAGAGATATCTGTCATTATCCAACAATTCTGGGTGTAATTGGTTAACTAAATCTGTAGCTTCTTGAATGCGTCCATTTTGAATTGCATCGCGAATACGAATTCGATCATCCAACGAGTTTAATTCCACGGTCGGTCCTACGCCGGACTCTTGTTGAAACTTTTCAGCTGCTTCTTTAAATCCTTCTAGAAAAACAAAGAGACTATAAGTACTCATAAATTGAAGCATATGGAGTTTCTCCAAAAACATAAGTACAACTTGCCTGTTACTAAATAATTCATGATTAAATTATTCATCGTCGCTCTTTGGATATGTGAGCCCTCCTCTAGTTTGGCAACCCATTCGTCCTTTGTTGGACTCTCCTGTTTTTCCCCAAAACTCATTGTCTCTGTGAGATGGCCACTAAATATTTTCAGAAAATTACTCGTAATTTCTTTAGCGCGTTAACGAGAGATGAGTTCCCATTTACATGTCTCGTTAAATGTTTCGATGTTTCTGCACGTATTCAAATATAGACAAGCCTAAAATATTGTTTATAATGAGCCGTTGGTTATTAACAATTATGCAGTAATGAGAAACTGTCTAGTAGAGCAAACGAAGTTAAGAAAGCAACTATTGTAACTTCGAAATGTCATACGTAAACCGACCCACAAGCAACCTGTATTTTTAACAATACACCAATGAATATAAGCAACATTAGAACAGACGGGTAAATACAAAAGCAGGTGAAGCCTTCAGAGTAGTTCTATGAACCAGCGCCACTGAAATATATAGTAAACTGGAACACTCGCCAACAGAAATGAGTTGAGAAATTGCTCACGAGCAGAGTCGCGCGATCGCAACCTTGCTGGACTTGTTGGTAAGAGATGTTGAAAGATATTAAACGATGTTTGCTGTAACAGAGTTGGGAGCAGAGATGAGGAAGATCCCTGAATTTGGCCACCATTGGGGGGGAGATCAGGTGGCAGGTGCATTAGCCGCCCATGTCCTCCATCGGGGGGCAGCACAGGATGCGATCGCGCAACCCTGCCCGTAAACAATTTCCCAACTCATCTCTGCGAAAAATTGTTTTCTAGGATTTTTTTTTCTGCTAGGATGCTTAACTTTCCGCAGCGACAACGCCGTCTTGCCGTCAATTTTCAGACTTTGTATTATTCGTCCCGCCAATTTCTTTGCGTAGCTGAATTGTATAATTTGTAAAGTAAGCAAATTCTTTGAAAGTAAAACATATTTGTTTACAAGGACTTATCACGTAGAATATTAAATGTCGTATGTATTAATCAATTCATTATAATAGTTTTTTCAAATGCCTGTCAAATTCAAGCATGTAAGTTAACTCTAGACTTGTGTCGTCGGTCAGTCAGCGAGTTTGAACAACATTGAAATTGTTTATAATTAGAGTTCTTGTTACATGTTAAAAATTGTATATTTTTGCTCCAAGAAAAGATGTCCCGATCTAGAACTCGTGCTGGCCTCAATTTAGTCGAGAACTCCAGTACGACATCGAATGAAGATCAGAGTTCAGATTCTGAGGAGTTCCAAAATTGTAGGCGCACACGGATATCAAAAAGTGAGACTCCTCTCAAAAACAATAATGCAAATTCAATGCAAAGTCAAGGTTATTCACTGAGGAAACGAAACTCATATAGTTGCACTAGTGATAATGAAATCGTTAAAAGCACTCCATCAAAAATGTCTCCTCGTAACGTGAATCGGAAGAGAAAAGTTAGTTTCAGTGAAGAAGGGAGTGACGAACCTGAAAATCGAAACCCTTCTCCAGAACTAGAATACAATGGTATGTTACTTACATATGTGTACTTTAAATTGATCTTTTTAAGTGTTAAATTAAAATTCTTGTCACTGATAGCATAATGAAGTTGGATGCGACATTTTTTAACTAAGTATCACCTTATTTTAAACAGGTTAGATATGGTTAAAATTATATAGATAAAGCTGAGTTATATTTTTAATATTACTTTGCAAAAATTACCAAAATATGCGAATATTAAATGTTTCTTTGTATGTCATTTTGCATGTCAAGTATAATGTTTGATTGCATTTTTATCTTTTTTTACTCATTTATTTTAAAACTTACATTTTTTTTTTGTTTTGGTTTATTTCTTTTGTAGGCCCACCTATAACTTATAAACTTTATGAGATCAATGGTGAATCCATAGTTGTAAAGAAGCCATTGAAAACAAATGTGAGAACAAGACTGAAAAGGTGTACAGATAATGACATATCTAATATCTTGAATTCAGACGATACTAATTTTGATATTTCTGATAAAGCAAACAAAACTAACACAGAAGCAGAAATGCAGATGAAAAGGAATGACAGTGTTCGAACACCTCGTACTTCAAGAAAGATAATGGAAAATGTAAAAAATAACGAGGAAATAGTATTAAATGGTACAAATTCCAAAAACTTACAGAAAGTTGTATTAACAAAAATTACGAAAGACTCAATAAAAAATAATAATGAAACTTCCCTGAAAATTAAATTAAGAAGATCGACAGAACAGAGTAATTACAAGATACAAACAGTATCCAACTACGTTAACAGTGATAATAAAACTACACCTGTGACTCCCAAAAATAAAGAGTCAAAGTCTCTGCATTCTCATAACATGAAATGTAAGTTTAATGAAGATGAAAATAAAATACCCAATGAGGAACAATCTATTAATCAATTAAATGAAAACTATCGAAGATCTACAAGAATTCGAACACCTTCAAAATTATTACAATCACAAACTGTTAATTTAAGACCCAGGCGAATGGTACATTATAATGAAAATAATCTAATTGAAAGTGTAGACTTAAAAGCAGATACATTTGAGAAATCTGATGAGTATAGAAATCCATCAGTAACAGATACAATAAATTTGAAACAAAATGCTGTAGATACACTACACACTCCTAGAAAGTCAAGTTTGCGGAAATGTAGGGAACGTGTACCTCAAACACCTCAAAAACAAAACAAGGATGGAAAGGACTTCCATCCTAATGTACCTGTATCTGTTGAGACTAAACGCTTGTCTAAAAATATTACCCCTAAAAAACAGCGTATCTTAAAAAGTTGTGAAAATGAGGAAGATCATATTAAAGATACAATTACAGCTTCACCTGCTAAAAATTTTGAAAGCGATATATTAGGTGATGAGTCTCTTATTACTAGAACACCAAGAAGAAGACCTAATAGCTATAATGAAAGCGATATTAAAAGGGAATTAGATAATAACGATGATGTGGAGTTACCCAGAACACCTAAAAGTAAAAGATTATTAAATGAGGCAGACTGTTCTCAAAATAATAAACAAATCAGAAATGTGGAAAAAACCCCAAAACGACGACTGTCTTCAAAACCTTGCACGCCGAATTTTAAAAAAGGTGGCTTAACGCCTTCCATGAAACAGAGAAATGCAAATATTATAAAGCCATCCACTACCCTTCAACAAGCAAGAGCTAAATTGCATGTTAGTGCTGTTCCAAAATCACTGCCTTGTAGAGAGGAAGAATTCAATATTATCTATACATTTTTACACAGAACATTAACAGATAAAAGTGGAGGGTATGTTCTGAAAATATAACATATGTCAAACAAATAAATACATTGACTTATATAAAGGCATAATTATTAATTATGGCAAATAAAACAGTGCTTAAAAGATTTTATCAACAGTAGGCTTAGAATCATATTACTTTACAGCATTATTTTATTTATTCGTAGTTTTGTTACATTTCTGGTTATATTATTTGAAATGATTTTATTTGAGTCTTCTGACTAAACCAGCAATAACTTTACTAATATTCATTGCTTTCATTCTATCCAAGGTGTATTTATATAAGTGGAGTACCAGGGACCGGTAAAACTGCTACAGTAAATGAGGTGATACGATGTTTAAGAAAACTGGTTACAAAAGGAGATTTAGAGCATTTTGAATTTGTGGAAATCAATGGCATGAAATTACCTGAACCTAGACAAGTCTTTGTTCAAATATTGAAACAGCTAACAGGACAAACGATGGCATGGGAACAGTCATTGAAGTTACTTGACAAGAAATTTACAGCTCGATCCAACAAAAACTGCATGACCCTTTTACTCATTGATGAGGTACCTATGAGAATTTCTGTTGATAGTAATAATTAAATTTAAATGTATAAGCATCTTAGTCACGTACATTATTTTACTAAAACATGTAATTTTTCTACTGATACTGTCACTTTAATATATACGTTTATTAATTTCATTGCATCTATAAACATTTAATGTAAAATAGTATAAACAAATTTTGTTTAATTCAGCTGGATTTGTTATGTAACAAACGCCAAGATATTGTATATAAATTGCTGGATTGGCCCACAAAAGCTGCAGCGCACCTTGTTGTTATTACAATAGCAAATACAATGGACTTACCTGAAAGAGTCCTAATAGGAAGAATAACATCAAGATTAGGTCTTACACGCTTGACATTTCAGCCATATAATTTTAAACAACTACAAGAAATTGTCATGGCAAGATTAAAAGACTCTGATGCATTCCGAAGTGAAGCTATACAATTAGTAGCTAGGTAACTATACTCATTATGTTATGTGTTAAAACTGGACTGTCTTATTCTCTGTTTTTAATATTAATAGAAAAGTAGCTGCAGTCTCTGGCGATGCTCGGCGTGCTTTAGATATATGTCGACGTGCCACTGAAATTGCAGAAATGTCTAATGGAAGAACTGTTTCAATGTCCGATGTAAATGAAGCGTTGTCAGAAATGATAGCAAGCACCAAAGTGCAAGCTATTAAACATTGTTCAGAAATGGAGAAAACGTTTCTACAAGCTGTATGTGCTGAAGTGACACGAACAGGAGTTGAGGAGACAAGCTTCATAAATGTATATAAACAATTGGAGGCATTGTGTTCATTTGACGGTTTGTACATTTTCTGTCTACATCGTGTTAGACTACTTTTAAAACAAAATTAAGGATAAGAAATCTGATTCATTCATTCAGCATTTAGTAATTAACACCGATTACATAACTTGTATAGCAAAAAATAATATTTTTCAGTTAAAAACGTTCTTTTCCAACAGGAGTAAAGCCACCTAATATAACACAAGCATTGGCGATTTGCGGTAGACTTGGTGCAAGCAGGCTATTATTGTGTGAACATTCAAGAGCTGATATATACCAGAGGATTTTGCTAAATGTTTCGTCAGACGATATTCACTTTTCATTACAGAATTCAAACGTCTGAAATATAGAATTTTTATAAATACTTTATGAATGAGACATGTACAAAAACAAGACTGCTTTCTCTAAAAGGAAAGAAATGATTCATCTAGATATCTATATTTTGGAGAACGTTTATTATCTGAATGCTGAGGATAGATACAATGTGTTATTGCAATAATTTGATGTACTGTACTACAAATGGTCAAAACTCATACTTTGTTACGTTTTTACTTTTAGATGAAAAATGTGTACGCACTAAACATATTTTGATGTATTTAATTTTTAAGGAATTCATGTTTGATAGAATTTAAATATCGATTGAAATCATATTGACACACAAATGAATGTATTAGCCATTCTCCGCTAAATGGAGCTGGTCAAGAGTTTATGTTCGACCAATAATTGATAAATCATTTAATATTTTCCTTTTATTAATAATTAATATGTTAATAAGTTTTATAGCTGTGACCTCAAATATAGTTTTTTTGCTTTTTGAAATTATCTCATGTATGATATGCTTTCACATCAGTACAGTATAAATATACATGACAGTGATGTTTAAGACAGCGTCAAGGTCATCATCTATTTTTGTTTGCACTCAATTTGCTACTCCGTGAATTCAACGTATTCACGTGCAAACCAACGTTTATAACTGTCACATACAAGTACTCGAAGGCATTGAAAAGTGTATATAAAAAAAGCGGTAGGAAGTGTAACTAAGGGCGTTATTACAGTAATACACTGCAGGACCATTATAAAATGCAATTGTTCCTTGCTTGCCTTAGAAAATGAGTGACAATGACGTTGAAGCACGTGTCCTTCAACTATACCGAGACCAGAAGTGGCAGGATATCATTGATTTAGGTAGTATCAATAATGACAAAGAAAAACGTCGACTTCTGTGGGTTTGGCCAAGTGAGGACGATTTATACTGGATAAGAGATGTTGTTACAAATCGTGCTTTACACGGAATTATAAGTATTGGTTGTGGTAGTGGTTTACTCGAATGGTTAATTAAGATATATACTGGTAAGTAATTTGTTTTGGGAGAAAATACTTTACGATAGCATGGAGAGATTTTTCCAGGATTGATTAGCTTTTCCTACATGGTTATATTTATATTTATAAATAATTTTATAATAATTTAATACATTTATATATTAAAAAAGTTTATTTCCACTAGGTATAAATATTATTGGTGTGGAAATTGATAAGCCTTGGTGGGTTAGTCGTCACTCACCTCCTCAGTTCTTAAAAGACATCATTTTCGTAGAACATAAGAACCAGAATATTAAGATGCCGTCAAAATATGCACTACTGTTTTGTTATTTTAATAATGCATCGGCATTTTACGAATATATGAAAAATTTTGAAGGAAATACAGTTTTAGTGATCGGACCTATGGAGGGTCAGTGTCGTTTTACAGATCCATTGCCATTTGATGAAAAGTTTTCTAAACTGGGGTGGCAACTAAGTTTTAAACGAGAAATAATAAGAAGCAAGGATCTAATCACTGTATATGTTAGATGACAATCAGATATTGCGTTTATTTCATTTATTTCAATTGACTTATATAAAATGTCTATAAAATGATAAAACCAAAAATAAATGATTTTTCTTACCCAAATTAAGTATGTACAATAACTGGAATAAATTCTGCAGTGTATATGAAATTGCATATGAATACCTTACATTTTTTGGCTATTTACTGTCAGTACCTTGACCTTTTCAGATTTTGGCACTCCCTGTTCATGTTTTGCCATATGTGTTAATAAATTTTCTTGTTTTACCGATCGATATGAACAATACTGACATGAAAACATAATGCCATGATCCAAACCTACGAATACATATTCATGAATGAATCTTAAAATGAAGTTAAAAAATAAAGGAGCACTGGAACATTAATGTTATTTACCTGGATGTTTATTTTTTAGGTGAACCTTGTATGTTGAGGATTGTATGCTAGCATAACTGCAATGAGGACAGCTATATGGTTTCAAACCTAAATGCCTCAATTTATGCCTCCGAAATGAATTATGATCACCAGTTGAATAAGGGCATTGTTCACATGTGAATGGCTTTTCGCCTAAAAAAATTAATTTAGTGATTGATTGTTTAATTACCCATGTTATAAATTGAATTATTTTTCTCTAAACTAATATATTCAGTGCCTTATATATCAATATTAAAAATATTTCATATTTACCAGTATGCCTTCTTAAGTGAAGTTTCAATGCACTTCTCGTTGAAGCAGAGTACGCACAAAAGTTACACATATATGGTTTAGAATCTTTATGAACTGACTCTTTGTGCAACTTCAAGAGCCTTGGATTTGTAAAAATTCTTAGACACTCACCACATTCGAGCAATTGTTTCTTGGTTTTGTGTAAAGATCTGTGATTTCTTAATTGTTTTGTCGTTTTAAATCCTAAATATAAAAGAAATGTATTAGCATTGGCACTACCTCTTTTAGTGTATTGTTAAAAACCATTTAAGGACACCTTTTCCACAGTTATCGCACAAGTATGGTCTGTCACTTCCATGAATGGCTCGGTGTTGGTTCATTAAAATTTTTAAACTAAAAAGCAAATGAATAACTACATGAACTATTACGATTGTAAATGTATGTTGAAAATTCACAGAAAACTTAAATACCTTGGTGTTTTGTAACTACATACGTCACAAGAATGTAATTCCATATCTACAATATGTGACCTCCACAAATGACCTGCCATATTATTCCAATTGCTGGATTTAAACTCCATGCATTCTGGACACTGATATGTTATAATATTTTTATCTTCAACAGTAGAATGACATCTTTGGTGGTATAAAATATTCTCCTGAGCAAACATATGAATACTGCAATTTTCTATATTGCATCTGCAAAGTAACGATCACAGATAAGTTACAAGATGTATTCTCACTTATTACATATTCCTAATTTTTTAACTCAACTTAACTAATAAATATTACTATTTATTTATGAACTTTCAGAAGTGTTATTTATACTTACTTGTATCCCAGCTGCTTTGATTCAGAATTCTTTTTATCAGCCTTTTTATGCCTTCCAAGTGCTCTTGATTTCTTACATTTCATGTCAGTAATTTTAACTTTTGTATTCTCCTGTTTTACATCATTTTTGGATACCTTTACTGAATCTGTGTTTGATTCCTCTTGATGCGCTTGAACAGAATCTTCTTTTTCTGCTCGAGACTGACCATTAGGAGATATTGTTTCAAAACCTGTTTTAAAAGACAGTGTTGTAGATGGTTTTGACTTATCAAGGAAGTCGGCATCTGTTTTCCGATTGTCCTTATTAACAGTTTCATTACAAGTATTTGAAAGCCACGTATCTGTGACTCTTTGAGATTCAATCTTTTGTAAATGAACGTTATCTGTTGCTGCTGTACGTGAAGTGTGTACGGAAGAATCGTGATCATCAATATTTGAAGTATTCACTGTCAATTGATTCTCAGAATGAGCATTGACCTCGACGTTCGGGTAGTGACAATTGATTTTATATGTTTCGTGTTCGTTACCATTAACACTGCCTGTACTTATTTCCTCTTTTTTACACAATATTTGAACCATTATTTGGGCTTCACTTTTATGTACCTGATACATAAATGACAATATTGCCTAATATTATTTATAATGTTAGATTATTTAATACATTTTAAATGATTATTAAAAAAAATACATTAGTATTAGAAGATGGTGCATTTATTCACTTAATTGTATTTTTTATTAATTTACTTGCCTTGTGATCGTGTACTATATGTGAAAATAAAGAAATACCATGGTAAAACGTATTTGTACAACCAGGGCAATGGTAAACGTTATGTCCTGACTGTTTGGCAACACTTGAATGCTCTTCCTTTACGTGCTTTATCATTAAGTTTATATTTAAACTCATAAAGGGACACTTTTTACAGTTGAAACTTCTAAGATTGGCAACGCATTTTTCTAAGATCTGTAGGATTAATAACATGTTAATTTCATTATGACAGTTGCCAATTTGAGTAGAAATATATGTAGAAACAACCTCGTCCTTCAAATCCTCGACAAATATGTAGTTTTGATCTTCATTTCGTTTTTTTGACTCACTCAAAGTAAATGCAGTTGATTTCAAAATTTCTTTTTTATTAGAATACATTTTCATATCCTACAAGAAAAAACAAGAATGTATTCAAATCATGATTTATTATCCGTTGCCTTTAATCAACCTAAAGCATGACAACGTATAATTAAAGGGCTCTCATTCAATAATTTGTCATCTCAATGCATTAATGTAATTAAAATCAGCATTAATATTACCTGAATGGAAGTTGACATCTCAATATTTCTTAATGCATTTTGTTCTTTTTTTCTTAAAGAATTGCTTCTATCCATGATATCATTCTTTGTTTCATAAGTGATTTTTTCTGTATGCAAATCCATTATGTCTAATTCATTGTTTGCAGTCGTTTTAATATGTAAGTCATTTTCTGTGGATACTTCCACTTTATCTTGCAATTTGTTATTCCTAAATGGCAGCAGTTCGTTCAATCTTTCGTTAGATGAATTTTGTAATGATTTGTGGAACATGCTTTCTTGAGCAGAGCATAACCGTTCCATAATAATGGTAGGTTTCCAAGTCCCAGAATTTAAACAGATATTGTTCACTGATTTCATATACACATTATCAGATTTAATTCGATCATGGTGATGGACATAATTCTTTGAAGACACTAATAAAATAGGATTAGCAGCCCAATTTGAAAAGCTTGGATTAGCTATGCTGATTTGATAAGTAGTATATTGTCTACAATCGGCAAATTATTCTCATTATTTTTTGTTCATAATAGAAATTCTTTATTATTACTCATTGGAATAAAATCACTTTGTTTTCCCAAGTTTTTTAGTTTGACTATTTGTAATAATATTTCTGATATCTTTAGATATGTATCCCTTAAGATTGCAAGGCTGATAAAACTTTAAAACACATTTACAATTCAGAACACTAAGACTCACATTTTTCTTTGGAATATTTTACAAATTAATATCATCATTAGTTATACTACCATGATTTGCTTTAATGTATTAACCATTGTTTGTCCACTTAATTTCTAGTCCAATTATAAAATAATGTTTTTGCGTTAGGTTTCCTTGCTTCTTTTGGTCTATACATTTTCTTGATAATGTTACGTTCCGTTTGAAAGAATATCAATTCGGAAATAATAGATGATAACAACTGTACCACTTCAGCTTCATTTTAACAAATTTTAATCCCTAGAAGTAACAATGGCATATAAAATATGTTATACATTAAATAATATTAGATGACATTTAATAATACTGTATAATTCAAAACATTCACTATACTAAACACTTATTAATAAGATCAGTGATTACAAAACTTCTTTTATTTTTGTGACAAACTTAAAAAAGATGAATATTTGTAAATAATATCGAAATGATGCTTCTAAATCATTGAAATTACCTTAGACAGACTGGGATTTATGGAAAAAAAAATTACAATTTATAATTATGCTACATCTAATGTAAAAAATGATACATTTTTAATACGCAAAAGTAATTAATACGTACATACTTGGTTAGATAAGCAATATTTTGAAGTTAGTTGTCACTCAAGATAAAGAATGGCTCAGTTTCTAAGAGCAGTAATAATTCTCGTAAGAGAAGAATATTTGTTCTGTGCAGAAATCATCGATACACGCATTACAATATTTGTTATGACAATACACTTGTTGAGGCAAAATATTTTCAACATATAGTTAGTACTACCAAGTACTAAAAACAGTCCAATACCATTTCCTTTTTCGGTTCGATTCGAGTTTCCTACGGAGTCAACGTTGAGAAAAATAAGTTGGCAACGATGTATTAAGTATAAAAAATGGATACCAGAAAATTGCACGTGATAATGCCTACATACATAATTTTTATAATTATTGTATGACTCTTTATTCAGATTGTATAAAGGTTTGTACCTTTTTACGTATGTACAGTAAATAACTAAGCATTGTTCTAGATTTACACAGAGGAGACGGAGGTTTTACAAAGCAGTTTGATTGGCGGATACAGCGGAAAAGTGGTACTTTCCGATAGGAAATCTCTTTTAACCAATCACAGCTCTAGTTTAGATAAGAATTCCTTTAACAAAAAATACGCCGTTGAATAAAACGCATGAATGACATGAAAATGTTAGCCACGTCTTAAATGGAAAAGCAGGATACAGGCCCTCTAATCATTCATAAAAAGTGGAACTGCACTTAAAAACTGAAGAATTTTCATAGATGGTAAAAAAAGTCAAAGACTGTTAAAATACCATCTTATGATAAAATGGAAAACCTTTTTCGAAAGTTTAAGGATGTTCATGATTAATATAAACAGAGCAAAATACATCGGAGATGCTGCGAACGACAAATTACCTTTAAAGGATTGAAAACGTACGGTTCATTTTAAAACAATGTATACATTTCAATTATGAATCGCAAGAAATTTGAGTTTCATTAAAAAATGTGTTTATTTCAGAGATTTTCATAACTACGATGTTAATTTAGCAGCCTGGATAATGTGACATATCCGAATTTGTAAACACGTTCTTCTTTACCGTAATAAATAATTCTCTCTTCCGAAAATATTGCACAAACTTTCCGCCAGTTTGGTGCCGTTTGTTTAAAAACGTTAGGCGCCATTAAAATTTGACTTGCGATATCTCCCGACTTATCTTAACACACCTTCGTTCCTAGATTATGTCCATGAAGTTAAACTTGTCAATTTGGAAAGTGACCTTATGAATTGAGTTTAGATCCATCTAAATCCAACATATCTCAACATTTAAGTGACGTAATCACTTATCAGAAAAGTTACTGGGCAATCCGGCAGTTAATTACAGGATTCCCCAACAATAATTCCCCGAACATTTTGAACGCATCCTTCTCGTGCAAATGATGTAAATGATATTTTCAGATTCTGTTTTCCCGTATGTAATCAAATTTTGACTTCCTCTGCCTCGATAGAGATAAAAATGGAGAAAATGAGATATCCGGTTTCGGAACGTAGCCTTGGCAAATCGGGTCTGCGGGGAGCATCCCCCCACTCCCGGTAGGTGTTTCTCGCGGGCCGTGGCGTTGCGCGCGCGCGACATCTGCCGTAAGTTAAGTCGAGCAGTAGAATCTGTATAGATGGTTTTGGTATTGTCGCCAATTTACAGTAAATCTTACGGGTTTCTCACATAAGATTCGGCCGATAGAGTGAATCGTAGGGAAGCGCGCTCTTTGGCTTTGGCCGGAGGATCAGTGGCCCCGCGCCCCGTTTAATGGATCCGACTATCGGTTGGTATCAACCGGAGCAGTTCGGCCCCGCGAAGGACTTGTGGCTACACATTTGGGAGGCCGAGAAGGGACTCGATATCTTAACCCTGAAGAACGACAGCTCTTCGGGCACGATGGTCGGTAGCGGGAACAAACTCCAACAGGACTACATTCCGCTCGAGTCCGTTAACAATCGGCTCGGCGAGGAGCGAACCAACCCTCGGGTTCAACATAACACCTGCAACAATTATTACAACCCCTCGCGCAGGAAAACCGATAACCGTGCTAGCACCTATGGTATGAACTACAATTACGAGGCCCTCGTCGGTGAGTACGGCGGCTGTCCTTGGCGCCAACCCAACAAGCATTATTCCAAAGGAGTCGTCGGGTGAGTACCCTACATTTATCCACTCTTTGATCGCGCTGCTTCACAACCCATACGACAACCTTGGGTAGGCTAGGGCTACTCCGACCGGACCGGACCGCCGTCGGGGGGGCGCTTCTAGTGAGGTTAGGAATGTCACATGTTGACTGGGAACTTTCGTTCTCTCCCAACCGGCTTGGATAAACGTACCTTTTCCCCAAGGCAAACGGACGGTTATTAACTGATTTCCACCAGTTTTTCTTAAATGCTCTCATGCTTTGTTTTTTAGACTCACCGATCGAATGTACAAGAGTCCTTGTCAAGGATAGTCGTTATTTTCTGTTACGTGCTTTTGAATTTGAATGCATTGGTATTGAGACCAAAATGGTATTGAAGGCTTAAAGGATTTTAATGCGATATGTAATTAGATGGTACGATGTTTGAACGTTGGAATGCTTAACGTTTTGTCTTTCGTTAGTACTTTTGAAGCCGCAGAGACTCATAATTTTAGTGAAGATGTAGTTCCATTTTATTAACATCTTTATTGTATCGTTCTTAGACTTTCTACGAATTTTGATATTTTTATAAATGACGGTAATCTTGTGCAAAGTGAAAAACTACATTTGCAGTAGTAGTCAGTGAATTTGTACTTAAATGTGTATATAGTACAAATATCAGAATACCGTCCCTTTAAATATTTAGAAAAAACAAAAACTTAAATGGTCTCGCATTGTCGTCAGCAGTTTGGAAGAAAGAATTCAACAGGAAATTGTAACTGTATTGACAAGTCATGAACTGAATAATTTAAGAACGTTTTATGATATTATACAATCGAACCAGTACTGGATTACTCCTACAGATGTATGATATAATTTCTAATTTACGACATGGCTTTTTTGTTCTCTTAACACTAACTGTACCAACAATTTATAACCCCATTCCCAATACATTTAAAAACGGTCATTCGACCGGCCGCTGGTACATTTAGTATTAAAGAAACTGGATACAAGTGTCATAAAATCTCTTAAGGTTTTTTCTTCTTTGAAAGTTGTATCAACAATGAAATAAACAAATTCCGTAGACATCTTAAATCATTCACTTTTATTACTTTTATTTTAATAAATATTTTGATTAATATGTTACAATTTTTAGTAGTAAAGCCTATACACGGAACATAACTTTTAGTTTTATGTTATTAACTTTGTTAAAATTGTGTAAATATAGGTTTGTATGAAAAATAGGTTGCATTAATTCTTGATATTGTTTTTGTTATTAAAACTTTCACTTTGAAATATGGTAGGGAGGTAGAATAAAATGAAAACACTAAGAAAAAATGATTCATACCTATTAACGTGGGTTACAAAATTTAAGCTTTACTTAACAGGTGGAATCAGTTTTTAACTATCATTTGTCTATATAGTATATGTTTCATAATAATGATTAATTCCTCAATAAGATATACTATTATCAATACATGTGATTCATAAGTTTTGTTGTCATATTTGTATTTTATGTGAAAATGTAATTGGTATCGCAATGCGCTACATTGGTATGTTATATTACAGAGTTGGGCACCATTCATTACCAATGAAAAGGATCTCTGTCATTTTCATATTTAAGAAAATTTGTGTTTAGCAAGGAGAAATTAAATAATTAATTCTTCTTCTTTGTGTAGATTGCACGAGGAAATAGAAGACTTCTTTACATATATGTGTCCTTCTAATGAGGAACATAATTTACGTGTACGTGTTGTAAAAAGGATAGAACAAGTTATATATGATCTCTGGCCTGATTCGAAAGTGGAAGTTTTTGGAAGCTTTCGTACTGGCCTATACTTACCCACAAGGTATGTATACTCATTCTTCCTAATTTCCAAATCTTTAAGGTAATTCAATACATTCATACTTTTAATCGTTGCTATGTACCACTTTGTGTTACATTTATGTGCTTACTTATTACATTAAACATCAAGAAGCTATCTAGACAGTTTGATATTAATTGTGTTTACCTCAAAGGTAAGCCGATCTTAACAAGTGTATTATATTTCATGTTTATTACCCATATATTAAGTGTAAATATTCTTATAAGTAATGATATTAAAGTAGTACTTTATTTGTTGAACAATTACTATCACGTTGAAGTTTCATCATCTAAAACGTCAGATTGATGTGGCTTGAAATTCAATGAAGGAATACTTTTTCTTAGAAACTAAATCTTTGTACAACTATCATTTGTTATTATATACCAATATCAAATGAAAAGAAAAGGCACCTAACTCATCTTCATCAGATAACATGCTACCTTGATCACTTCGACATTATAGCTCAGAGGAAATGTAACCAGTATTAATATCATTACATTTTGATTACTTTACAAATTAGGATAAGTTATTAAACATTTCTTATATGTGGTATTTAATTATTAATAATATAAAGCTATATCACTTATCTTAAATCCATTCTGATATATTATCTTTTTTATTGGCATTGTAATAGATTTAAGTCCAGCTTAAGATCGACTAATATTCTTTTGTTGACAGTGATATTGATCTAGTAGTAATTGGCATGTGGACGAACCTTCCATTGCGCACCTTAGAACGTGCACTATTGGACCAAAACATTGCCGAGCCATGTTCCATCAAAGTCTTGGACAAGGCTAGTGTGCCAATAGTTAAGCTCACTGATAAGGAAACCGAGATTAAGGTGGACATCAGTTTCAATATGAGCAATGGTGTTAAATCTGCAGAGCTGATTAAATCTTTTAAAAGGCGGTATCCGGTACTGGATAAACTGGTCATGGTACTGAAACAATTCCTCTTACAGAGAGACCTTAACGAAGTGTTCACGGGTGGCATATCCTCGTATAGTTTAATACTCATGACTATTAGCTTCTTGCAGGTAAGATGCAAACGTTACTCTGATTTATAACTTGTAATAAAGCATTTACCATTTAGTAACATATGCCAAATATTATGTTTTAGTTGCATCCCAGACAAAATGCTCATTGTTCGAACGCTAATTTGGGTGTACTGTTAATTGAATTTTTGGAACTGTACGGTAGAAAATTCAATTATGTTAAAACCGGTATTCGAGTCAAAGATGGTGGTACTTACATATCTAAGGAAGAGGTAAATGAAAAATAGTGCAAGAGGATGATTCTCTCTTTGAAGTGACGCGCACATCGACATGTTATTTTACGTTCACATTTATTGATCACATCTGATGATGGTTAGGTTCAACGTGATATGATTGATGGGCATCGACCTTCGCTACTTTGCATAGAAGATCCCCTTACTCCTGGAAATGATATTGGTCGTAGTAGTTATGGAGCTCTCTATGTTAAAGATGCGTTCGACTGGGCCTATTATGTGTTATCTCAAGCCGTCAGTCCGCTCAATATTTTAATCAACGACGCGAGCAAAGTTAGGTAAGATCAGAGCTAAAAGTATTTATATAATCCTAATCACATCGAACACAAGACTTGGATTACGACGTTATACATAATGTAATTTATTATAAATTAACATTCTGAATTGCAGTATATTGGGAAGAATAATACGTGTAACGGATGAAGTGATATATTACCGAAAATGGATCAAAGAAACATTCCCATTATCCCTGGGTGAGGTGGATTCCCTCTCTAGCTCAACTGGCTCTGACGCATCCACTCTGTCCGCTCCAGCTAGTGATACGGTATATAAATTAATATTATTCACACTAAAAGTACATCGCGATTTTGAGATCTGTAACGTTAAACAAAAATATATTTTTTTGAAATCTCTTGATCCGCCAATGCTTTGCCGTTAAAACAAAATTATGAGAGACGATTGACTGAAATCTTCCTGTAATTATGCAAGTGGATTTTCTTTCGGTAAATTAATCGGAATGATCTTACCAATACTGCTTTATTATTCTTTTGAAGGACTCAGAATGCAGTCGCGGAAATTCTCCCAACACGGGGGGAAAGGGAGAAGACAGATACAAAGACAGACATACATACAATAACCAACAGTCTCATCATCAGTGTAAGAAGCAATATAAATCAACCACTCATGGTACAAATAGTTTGCTTTCTATCATTTTTACGTTTAAGCATCAAACATCCGAGCATGGTTTGTTGAAAAATCAGGATATCCAGCACACGGAGAGAACGTGACGGAATTAAATTAGAGAATGCTACATCGTGAAAACTGAAATTGCAGTTGGTCAATATTCTCTCTGTAAAGACATGTATACTTCATTAATTCATCTTCTAAAACATTACCTTAGTAGAAATTGAAGAAATGTTAAAGAAGTTATAATTTTAATATTGCTGGATATCCTGATAACTAATTTTAATGATTGCAACCTGCCGAAGGGCCACTTAGATCTGTAAAATAAGTAAATTACCATTTCTTGTTTGTTGCAGTGAACCATCAACATAATTCCAGAGGAAATTATCCACGCGGAATAAACAATAACTCAACCGGGCAAAACAAAGCAAAGAACGCTCAGCATGGTAGCAATAACAACAGCAGCAGTCAGAGTCCTCATTCAAGAGGGTATACAGTGAAACGTAAGAAGCAGCACGTTGCTCATCGCGCCCCTGGAGATTGCGTACGGTGATGAAGCGCATCTCGTGTTCCTACGTGTTAATATTCAAAGTAATCATTTATAAGATCGGTGAACATTGTTTCAAGTGATTGTTCACCCCGAAAAGCGCAGTATGAATCTTAGCAATACTTGGCGCAGTCCAGAAGATGGGTAACTATCATTGTATCACGATTGATGCGTTTTACATTTCTTTTTATTTCTAACTAGACTCAAAAGTCCATCGCATCTACTATTACTACTCAGCATTTTACTTTCAAGGATAACTTACTTTATTTTTGTCGGTGTACAAGGTACCGTTGAAAGCCTACTTTAGCTTTTACTGTCTCTAAATAATCGGTCTTAATTGAAGTGTACGAACCAAAGAGCTCCTGCAGCATTATGATGTAGATCGCTAAGTTTTCTCGCTCGTTATTATACTGTGATCCATCCTATATCTTTTATTGCAACGATTTTTTTTTTTAAACTTCGACCGTGTAGTTGCCTCGGCTGCTATTCATATAGTATTATGCACCTATCGCCATCATTAAATATAGGATTGTGTTCATAGAGTCACACGCTATACGAAAAACTCCGCGATGAAGTCACAATTAAAATGCTATGGATTATGATACATCTCCCCCCCCCCACACACACACCTTCCCCAAATTTCACGGTACTGTAAGGCGTGTACTCGTAGCTATGATAAAGACTTAGTTTTCTATATGAAACTATATTCTTATAATGTGAGAGTGAAAGAAAATTTGGTGATAAAGGGACGTGCCCGATGTAAATATTGTAATATACTCGAAAACATGTGAAAATATGGAACATTAAGTTTAACAGTTACCTAGCACTCACCCACACTCATACACGCAACACGCACATTTTTTAGTGTCAAGCGTTTCCAAACAGATATTTCGCGTAACGATTGTGACACTGAGTTTTGATATGGATAAAATCCATATTCATTCATATTTGACATTGTCTCTTTTTTGTAATATATGTAATTTTTCTCCTAGCTGCAGAGCCATTTGTACAGTTATAGCCGTGTAGTTCTTTCCATCATGTATAAATTTGTATGCAAGTCAGTTTGAATGTTTTCTTCCGTATGAATGAGCCTAATAGTTATTAACGCTGCTGTATAACTTATTGTAATTTGTACAAACTTACGAAAGACTGTGCACATAAACCAAGCGGTCTTTGTAAGATATCACTTTATTTATATACAATACTGTATTATAATCTCAAGTACAAACATATAGTTAATTACGTTTCATAATAAAAAAAAAAGTTGGAGCCTAAAAAGAATATTTTACTGCCAAATACAACATCCGATCTGTCACACTTTGATTATTTTCTTGCTTGTTAAGATCCTGTGTGTTTTACTTGATTTATACAACTTGCAATAAATAGTTGCTGTTGGGTACAGAAAAAAATTTAAACGCAAATGAAAGAAAAGGTTGTTTTTAATGTAAACAGCATTTATTGTGATATTCATGCGCCATTTATTCTTAGGATGACTATAAATGGATTTATTGTTATATTCACATTTGTATCTAACAGTACGTTCACACTATTGTTAACGAGTGACTTATTTACGAGCATTCAGACCAGTAATAGGATTAACATCCAATTTTCGCATTCGGTCGAGTTGCGCACGCCTTCTTTCTTCACTGAATGATTCAGGTAGTTCAGGATAGACTAAAAAATGTTGTTTACCATGAGAATCAGATATTACATTAACATAATACTTAATTTTACTCCTGAATACAATTAATGTCGAACAAAATTCCATGAAAAGTGATATTGTAAAAATATCTGTAAATTTATTTTTGTATTACACATATGTATCACCTATCGGATTCTGTTTACCTTATTTCTGTCTTTTATGATGATAAATAGGCAACAATGTTATCAAAATTATGAAAAATTTATAGTAGTCGATTATTATTTAAATTCAAAATAAAGTATGTTGAAATCTCAATATTTGTTTAATAAATGTGAAACATTAGTTATCTGTTATAGGTTAAAAAAAATGTGTAAGCAAAACTACAATGATCCAGTTGGCATCAAATATGACATTAATTGAAGTGTATATTGATTATCCCGACAATGGTAACAGATTTCAAATTCTTTGATTTTACGAGTGGGCTAGTAAATACTGCTCTCCAATAACTTATTAAATATAATTTTATTTTTATGAATGAAACACTCACCTGCCCATTTCATAAACAGGTACAACCAAACGCCCACTGATACTAGTATCAATGATACACCAGAGATTGATTTCCATTCACCAGTAGGAGCTTCCATTTCTGCGAATGTCTGACAAAAGCTAGCTCTGTACAAAGCTTTCTTTTCATCGACAGTAAGCTTTTTCCAATCACCCTTTTCCTTTTCTTTCAAAACCTTCACAAAAGATATTGAAATTATCATATGCAATTTCATTTAAAAAAGTTAATTATACATTGCAAACATTTTCTGAAATCATTAGTATAATTTTATATTTTGTTAGACATGATTAATATGAATTTCATGAATATGTTATTAAAGATACTCTATGTACTCATGAATTATAGACCATTCTAACATTTAATAATTCATTCACCAAAATTTACAATCATTATTTTTTCACTTCAAGAAACAGTTATTAAATTACTTTGACATTCGTATCATGCACTATAAACTGTTGCTACTGAATGATTCGTCTGCATTATTTTAATCATTCATAATTATAATTCATTATACAAATAAAATAAATCTATAATATCCAATTGAAACCATTCAAAGATTCATTGCTTATTTTTTATATTACATTGTTACCTTAATATCAGGGGTATCCTCCTTGAATCGAATTGCGGGCATAGGAAAGTCTACTCGGTCAACATAATTTGGTACACCATTGAAGCCAAATCCAACCCATTCTCGGGATCCAATTTTGGCAAGTGCCTGATCAGCCATCTGAGCCTTTTGCATTTTCTGACATTGCACAATGCAGCTTCTTAAAAGTTTCGATGCCATTGTTGTCTGAAATAAAAATCATAATCAAAAACTACTTTTATACATACCGATGTTGCTGGCTGCTACATCGATAGCTAAATGCTTCTTATATTAATAACAACGGATTTTCAAATAATCTAGTAAATAAACTTAAAGAATGTAAGTGCGTATCCAAATTGTCTGCACCAAAGGAAATACTGTACATGACTAACGTAATGCATTTTAATGAAAATTGTAATTGAAGGTTTACCAGAATTGAAGAAGTTAGTGTGTAATAATTTAGCAAAAGGCTTTAACTGACTTCAACTGTTTTAACACTTGTTGGGTGCAGTATATCGAACGTAGCAGAAGTGTTACCTAATCAATCCCTCTTGCCAGAAGGTAGGAACAGTCGGCATTACTTAGCCATTCCAATGCAAACATTTTGGTACATGTTAAATAGGTTATCACAAGTACTGGATGTCAAAAAAGTAAAATAAACGTAAAATCACATTTAGAACTTACCGGTTGCTCGCAATCACTTTGGAGCGTAATTCACTTCCGAAAATTTGTTCCGTATCTTGTACGGGAGAATTCGAGACAAGATAGGCATGAACTACTCCTGCTATTAAGAGAAACTTCCAGTGAAGGTATCTTTTTTACCGACGGTACGTCGTCAAATTTTGTCATTGGTGAATTCCGTTAGATCCAGCCAATAGTAATTACTTAAATTCAACTAATCAATGCTCTTGCTGCGCCAAAAATGTTAATTTTAACTCCTTGCCTAATTTATTAAACGTTCAAAAATTCAATAATTACTTAAAAATGTGTTCAAATAGTTTCTGACCATTTCACTAGCCCTAGGTAATTTCTCGTGTAACATTTCTCGTGGAACGTGGGAATTACGCGATCACGCTTTATATTTTGTTTGCACGAAACCCTTGAAACTTTTTAATTATGCATCTTTATATGTGTTGTTTACTTGAATAATTATATTTGTTTTGAAGGAATATTAACAGAAGTGGGAGAGTACTACTCAACGGAAGATGGCGGACAACAGTTCCCTAGCTAGACTTCAGGGATCATATTTTTAACCAGTGTTAACAATCTCTTGAGTTTTATGTCTATAGTGGTCCATAGTTTGCAGTGCTGACAAGTGGTATGGCGGACATATGAGTCCAGTAAGCACAAGTAGGATAAGATTGTAATGAAAATTTTACGTCGATAAGGACTACGTTTTTGGCCGTAACTGTTTAATCAAATGTCCGTATTTATATTCGAATTTGCTAAATTCGATACATGAGCTCCTTGGTTTTTAAAGATTAATTAACGTGGAAACTAACAAGGATTCTTTCAAGTGAATTTGAACACTTTATATTGTGAAAAAATGAGTTCTGGGTTTATTTCGGAGGCTGCAATAGCAGAACAGCGAAAATTACGACAAGAAGAATGGGACCGTGTTAGGACAGCGGAACAACCTACAGGTTAGTGTCTGACATGCGTTTTAAACAAATAAGATTTCTCTTGTTGATAACTGTATATTTAAGTACGTGTGAATCAAAGCATATTAATAAACGATCATTTAAATTTCTTTCGTGTAACGTATATGGCATCGTCAGTTAAAATTTGTATTTGCATAAAAAATGTATGATTCAGTGGGAATAGACTTGAAGAATTGTCACTGTTAATTTCTACAGGATTCTATTTCATTCCAAGACAGAGAGGTTTATGGAAACAATTTTTACTTTTATTGTATGAACGTATCATATATAATTGAATTATTTTGTAAGAAATTGCATCATGTATTATGCTGTTACAGTAATTATAGGAATATTTTTGCAAAGATGTCATGCATATGGTCACCATTTGTATTTTGCTCTTTTTTCTATCTCCTTGTAAGCTAAATAAATGGAAAGCTTATGGTTGTACATCGTGTTAGCGAATAGTTCAATTGCTGTATGTTTCGTTTTTATGCGACAGATGCCCCAGAGGAGCCTTATGATCCAAGGTCTTTATATGAACGATTACAAGAACAAAAAAATAAACGTGATATAGAGTATGAAGAAGCTCACAAGCTTAGTAAGTAATGAGATAATAATATTCATTGAATAACTGAAATTACCTTGATGGTATATTGTACAGATATTTTTGTTTGTTAACATTATCACTCGACATAATTACATGAAATTCTAAAACTGTACGTTTTATTTAATAATTATACTTATATCTTGTAGAGAATATGATAAAAGGCTTAGACGATGACGAGGTAGAGTTCCTGGACTTAGTAGACCGGACTAAGTTGGAAGAGGAACGTAAAAAGAATCTTGAAGAAGAAAAGGAAATGCGAGATTTTAAAGAAGCAGTTGCATCTTTGCAGGAGAAGGCACTAGATGAAAAGTTGAAGCAGGAATTAAAGAATCCATTAAGTGTTTCTAAACATCCATCGAGTGGAAGGTTACGATGCTATATTACTTGCATAACCTGCTTCTGAAAATTATAAATATTTTTTTCNCTGCCATTTTTCCGTTTCTCAATATATTACAATAAATACAGAAATTTAGTGGATCCGTTTACTGTTAAGTGTAATTTATTTTTCTTTTTTTTTTTAATATTTAATATTGCTGAAAAACGCGTCTTAAGGGGCTATACGATTGGTTGATCGATGTGCAATGTTGCTAAATGTTTTCATGCTCCCTGCGATGGTATGTTCTTAGAATTTAAACATCTTTTACATAAATTAAACTTTGAAGTGGTTAAAATACTATCACAGGTTTGTTTTTAACTAAATTATCTATGGCGATATCTACTATGTATAAGAATAATTAAACATAATTCGTGAATTTATCTGTTTTGCAATGCGTTTAGTACCCACTAAGGATTACAATAATATCCCCCAACGAAGTTGTACATGTATAACATAAATTGTTGTATAAACTTATTAGAAACCTGCTCATCTCTGCCATCACGAGTACGTGAGTCGTCAACGGTGACTGGTAGATGGCACCGCCATCGCAAGTGCGCGAAATTCGTTGTGTCGCTCTTGGTGGCAAAAAACGGTGAAAGTTAACGTACGAAACCAGAGGGCAGCACAGGATGCGATCGCGCGACCCTGCCCGTAAGCAATCTCCCAACTCATCTTTGATGGGTGCTTCGGTATCCGTATAAAGAATTCCAAAGGAATTTTAATAGAATTGGATCATAACAAGATATCCTGTTTGGTGTAATCAGGTGTATTTCTGTGGATGAATTATCACCAAACAGGAATGAGGTTACGTCATTTGTGTACATGCACACATAGATACGAGTGTCGTATTTTGTCGTGTATGACAGTTGAGACGATCTGACGAACTTCGTGGGTTTTTAAAAATAAACCCTATTTATTTAAGGCTTTGTTAATTTAATATGCAAGCGCTATTGTGACTTAGAAGTGACGAAAGCATGATTCTGTTCAGATTGGATAGTTTCTAAAGGTTATTCATTTTCTTAACCTAGCATGTTCTTGTAACATTTGTTATTTTACGTTGTCTTTACTATATTACAACAGTTAAGTCAAAGTAAATATGTCTTTGGATCAAAATGAGTCGGTCTCGAAGAAAAATGCTGCTGGGAGAAACAAACAGAAAATTCTGTGTATGTATTGTCCGTCCAAAATATTAAACCCAGGTGCAGCGACACATGTAAATACAGAGGTATGTATATGTCATAAATAGAATTATTGTTATTTCAAAGTGTGAACATTGAAATGAGATAAAAATGTTTAAGTTTGAGGTTAAATAATTTCATACTAAGTGAACTTAAATTGTTTCCAGTATGCGTTGCCTTACATACACCGTAGAGGGCAAGAAGATAGAGATAAATGTGAGACAATCACAGATTATTGGCTCATTGAAGATATGTATACTTTTGAAAATATCGGAGTTTCAAATACAGTAGATAATGTCAAATATTTGGCATGTGCTGACTGTGAACAAGGTCCTGTTGGTTGGCACGATTTAACTACCAAAAAATCGTACATAGCTCTTTCAAGAGTAAAGTACGAGTAGTTATAATATATAAATATACATCCATTTCATATGTTTATACCGCAATTTTTTACAAACCAGAGAAAAAAGAAAACGAGTCAATTTATAATGTGATGCAGTCATGTTGAACAGATCAGAAGTAAGATATACAATTTGAAAAAAAAAACAATGTATTAATGGGTTAAACTAATTTGATATTATCTTATTATAGTATGAATAATGTAATTTATATTCATTAAACTTTATAACATTAACTCTCACCATTTAACAACTCAATCCATTTTTAAATATATAGATAATGAATCAAAAGGAACGAAAAGGAAACACTCAGATTCTGAGTATGACAAGGAAATATCAAATAAAAATGAAGAGTGCCTTTCAACATCTTGTGAAATACCGAAGATGTCCGAAGAATGTTTAAATGATGTCAGCAAGAACGAGTCTCCACCTACTTATACAATAAGCAGCAAAAATCAAATTGGAGGATTAAAGTGTATCGGAATATTACCTGGACTTGGATCTTACCAAGATTCCAGTGATAGCGATTGTAGTTCAGATTCTGATCAGGAATCTGAACAGAATCAAGTTAAGTTTGATTTGTTGGGTCGAAAGATTGAAAGACCAGCAGAGATTGAGAAAAGTTAGAATTCACGTAAATCTCTCCGGTAATGTGAAAAAAAGTTTGATTTAAATATAANAAGAGTAAAGTACGAGTAGTTATAATATATAAATATACATCCATTTCATATGTTTATACCGCAATTTTTTACAAACCAGAGAAAAAAGAAAACGAGTCAATTTATAATGTGATGCAGTCATGTTGAACAGATCAGAAGTAAGATATACAATTTGAAAAAAAAAACAATGTATTAATGGGTTAAACTAATTTGAGATTACATGAATATCGTTTGTAACAATAATTGTATTCATCTTGTTTAAAAAAATCTCATACTAAAAACACTTTTAAAATATTAAAATGTTCAAGTATATAAGATAATATAAATAAGATTACTATACAACATTTAACTTTATAAGTGATTGCTTCTTACGCGCACCGTCAATCAAGAAAAGTACAGATATGAATTATCATACAAAGAATTGTGTAATTACCATTTTTCATACTTAATAATTAGAAATTCATTTTAGACCAATAAATTGTCTAACAATTTTATAATCCGCTTTCATTATCAGCATTCAAACTCAGTGTTTTACTTATATACAAGGAAATGGTCACAATAAAAATGTTGAAGCCCCTGTAATATCATTTCTTAAATTTGCCAAGTTTCTACTATAAACGTTTAATGTCTTGATTTTAGTGAAACATCACTAGTTTCTATTATTTTCTATATTACTACAGATATTACACGGTTTCATGCTCGTCGACGTTATGGTGGAATGACAAAAGATACAAATTAAAAGTACACGGAGAAAGCAGTGATATACCTTACGTAGATAATAATGACATGAAACACATACGTATAGCTGCCATAGTGGCCGTTTAATTACATATTTTCACCTAATATTTAAGATATTACTCAATGACATTTACGCTAGGAATGTTTTACGTGATCGATCCCGCCGATCGTTTTGACGACTACGGTCCAAATTAATGAATCTGCACATGGCATTTCATAATTATAAATCCCACGCAAACACAAGAAAAATTATGCCGTTTATGGCTCGTGAATTATATAATTGTTGTGTACGCATTATCTTGTAAAATTTCAACCTACATCCGAAGGGAAATTAGAAGCACGTTATTAAGTTTTCTTTTTAACCAGAATCTGAATTTCTTTGTTATCGGGTAATCGTGCCACGGGTTTTTAAATAATTCTTTCCAGTTTCTAAAACCATTTTAACTTTTTATCTCAGATTTGCCGTTCTCCTGGAATCATGTATACTGTGAAAAAACATTAGAACTTTCCATCCCCTCTCCCGCCATTTTGAAAAATGTAAAAACCCTTTTCTATCTTAAATTCTCCATAAAATATTAAATAAAATATCACCGCAAGGAAATATTTCTTATACGTTTTCGCTCATTTTTAAGGTGATGTGAAAGTAGCGTCAAAGAGGTTCGTTCATGAACCTTTCCTCCGAACTGGGTGTATCGAATCGTTTCAAACGTGATAACGTGGATGTGGACGTCTTAAGGAAGGTTCAGACATCCATGAAATTTCAATTTTTAAAAAATTTGTTCATAGGTATTCTTAACACTGTATAAAAAATGAAATTTCAAGAGTGTCGAGATCTTCCTTATAGCCTCTATATTCACGTTGTGAAGTTTCAAATGATTTGATACACGCAGTTCGGGGAAAAGTTTAACGTCCCCTTAAACTTACTTTGATTAAAATGCATTTCACAACCTACTGACTCTGTTAACGCTAGGAGATCATTTTAATTTGGGAGAATACCCAAGAAATGCACGCAACGGACATTTACGAAGATTCTCTCACAGAGATCGGATCGTATTCTTTTCTTGGGTTTGCGTAGCCACTTAATGTCAGGCTCAACGAGTCGCCGAGGCCAACCAAGGTTCGCAATGTCGCAACTGAAAATTTCTGCAATCCCAGAGATTTCCGTGTCTACGGTTTGCTCACGCCTCCTGCAGTCGGCGAAATTTGGTGATTGGTGACCTTTACCAAAGACAATCTAGCGAACGAGGAAAGGAGCCACTTTTATAGTAGGGATAGAGAGTTCTACCTCGGGGCGACAATTATTTTTCTCGGCGGCCGTAACGCGGCATTATAGGTACTCACATTCGTCACCGATCGTGAAATGTGTCGTCGGAGCCTCCCGAAGAGTCACCCGTGAAATTTCCATGTGTACATTTACATAACGCATCTGCAACAACGGAAGCAAGCTTTAACCTTCCGCTTAATATACCTTATGAATAGTGAAGTTAATTTCCTATGTTTTTAGGCTCCTCGTCTGGCGAGATTTGAGACTTCCATGAAAAAACTCGGTAGAGTTTCCAACCAAATACATTTCTGCGAGGAACTCGTTCCTATAACTCTAATGTGTGTAATTAACTGTGAGGAATACATGTAAATAACTGCGAAAATCATTTCTATTTATGTATCTTAGTCCCAGGCTACAAGGAAGCCTTAAATACGGAGATATTAATTCTTACGGGGTTAAGGTGATATGAAAGTGTCATATATACATACCAAAATGTCGAAATGTTTATAAAACTTTTTTTCAAACAGGATCCACCGAACGATTTGAAACTTGAACACGTGATTATGGAGGCCCTAAGGAAGGACGCGATGCTCATGAAATTTCATGTTTCAAACAAAAATTTTGTATGCGTCTCAGACTACAACCAAGGACACATATTTTCGTTTGAAAAATGAAATTTCATGGGCATCGCGTTCTTGCCTAGGGCCTCCATAATTACGTTTTAAAGTTTCCAGCGATTCGGTGCGCCTAGTTTGGAGAAAAGTTTTATAAATATTTTGATGCTTTATGTATATTTGTATATNTACACATGAATCGGTGCACCCAGTTTGTAGGAAAGTTTTATAAATATTTTCACGTTATATGTATGTACGCATATATACATACATATATAGAATGACCCTTTCATATCACCTTAATAAGCCCAAACTTGGCGTTAAGAACTTGGTGGCATTTTATGCATACACATGTTTCGCGCATACGTATGCAAGGTATGTAAATGCATATTTTAGTATTCATTGCAATGAGTGTACTATACGTAAAGAGATACCTAATCAACGTCGTAATGATTATCAGATATTATGATTGACGTCTTCGAAAGATGCCATATTTCTTCGTCTAAACTCACACGGAACGGAATGAATAGCATCCATCATAATGCAGGGCCAGTCAACTTGCAATGTAATAATAACTATAATTATTGAACCGATAATTGTATTTATTATCATCACTCATCGCAGACAGATAACCCAGCGGTAAAACAAATGGTTATCATCGCGATAATTATATAGCAAACCAAGAATAACATAGAATAATACCTGTAAACTTGTGGGTACTTTACACGCTAGAGTGAAAACGTCGTTTAGTTTCTGATTGAGCATGTATCGGAAAAATGTTTATTTACTGTTCATTTCCAAGACGGGTAGACGGAACAGTGTTCCAAAGGTGAACAATCACCGAAGCAAATATGGTATCTGGGTGATCAGTCCGCGATTTTTTATGTGCAAGCTGATTACCTTATAGTTATTAGCGCCTGCTAATCAGAGCTTTTTAATGTCCGGGTCCAATATTTTTCCTATATTCGCCCCGACACCTGTCGATTGCTAAACCCGTTAGGTAATCAGTAAACTCTGTCGCTTTAAATCTCTCCGAAATCCGGCTCTTTAGAATTCTTCAAAAGGAAACTTTTGATCCTACGTTTAAATTGAAATTCGACGTTCTTCGCTCACTTTTTACCAGTACATGTCGAAACATGTAATTTATATTTAATTTGTCATGTTTTACTCATTTAGTGCTAGTACATGCCGAAACGTGTAATGTTTCGGAAAATTATGGGCTCGTGACACCGTAAGCACTCTGCGGTTTGGAAAATAGTATCATTAATTTTCTACGTAATTGCAAAACTAATGCTCTGCCATAACTTTGTCAATACTGGCTTGAACGAGAACCGCGTAAAATGAATAATAACGCTTTTCGAGAGAATTTCTCTTGGAAATCTGGTCTCGAATGATTAATAATTGTAAATGGGTCGGTTGCGATGATTTCTAAAAACCTTAAAGGATTCGGTGTGTATGCTCGAAGAAAATGTTGTAAGTATTCGTTTAGTGACAGATGAATAATTTTTAGGCGGCCCGGCGTGTAAAATTCTAACATCACGTGCTCACGATTGGGCAATGGCGATTTACACTTGTATAGGAGATTATTCAGGGAACAGGAAGAATTGTTGAAAAGGCTCGAACCAACGGAGGCAATACGGTCAATTAGTGTGCACACTTTCTGTAGATTAACGCTAATTTATATAAGCACACGTGACGCGCATAAATTTGTGGAGCGCAAGAGAAGGACTCTAATGCGCGGCAGGTGTAAAGCATACTTTGATTCACTTTGCGTAATTTAGATTTTAGTATGCAAGACCGTTCGATCTCTCAATTACAGCACCGAAGGAGATGACCTGAAATTGTTAAAAGTTATTGTACGTTGCGAATGTAAATAGCCCCGCGACTTAAGCCTTTCTTTCACACGGTTTTGTTTCAAGTAATGTTATCATTATCATAATATAATTATAATTTTTATAACGATGTTTAATACAGATATAATCTTTACTATAATAATTTCTAATATAGTAATTGTTGATATATCATTTTTAATGAAGCTATCATTTTTCAAATCAAATGAAGAGTTTAGGTTTTATGTACTTATAATGGTGGATCGATGTACGGAATGAATTAATTGAGTAGGACAGTTCTGATCAGATCTCTGTTAGCTGGACATGAGAAGTTACACAAGATTTCATCTCTCCAGTTAACTTGCCTTCGCATCTACACTTCAAACACATTACGTTTTATTTCAAATGCAAAACGTCGTGGAAAGTACACGTGTGGATAGAGAACCGTACGTGGGCACTTTCGTTTTCGAGTTTGATATTTTTCTTCCCTCAATTGTGGTACTTTCTCATTATCGCGTGTCACCTGTGCAAGGAGAAAGTCAAAATACAAGCGATAAATACATCTCTTGTGAAAAACGCCCGCCGAAGTCAATCGGATGGGCAGCGATATCTCAATCCCGAGTCACTCGCTGAAAGATTTTACGAGACGTTCACGGAGACTTGAAAAATCTAAACAAAAGGTGTCTAATTTAAATTATGTTAGGAAAAAGTGCTCCTCTCGCGTAACCGAATGAATGCAACCACCCGTCAACTGTCAGCGAATGAACGTAACAATTATTTGTCCGCTTTTCCGTATGGATTTGAAAATGTTTAATTTTTAAACAATTACAATTTGGACATCTCCCAATGATCGGCACAAATTAGGAAACAAAGGGTCGAGTATGCAAGGGAGGCGGAATTTCATACTCACTTTAGAAAGTCATTTCTCTCTGGGAAGATCATTAAAACGTAACATCATTCCTCGGTTCTCCATTTCGCCTGGGCGTATTAACTTCCATGCTTTGTAATGACTGACCTTTGTAAGGAGAGGTGACGATGTGGCTTCCAAGAGGATCATTTTGTCGCAAAGATGATCCCGCAGGCAACCCACGTGCATGTAACTTATGTATAATACTGGCAATCGTTAATGCCATGACA